TCATAATAATTGCTGCAGAGGAAAAGGGAATTGTGAGTCATTCCGTGCGATCGGGAGGAAAACGCCGGGCCCTCCCCAGGGGGATTCTGGGAGATCTGTAAATAGCGTCAGCAGACGAGAGGAAATAAGACGAGGAGAGCGGCGGAGCAGAGCTGTCAACGGCTTTATCTTTCAAACATACAAGACGTATCAGAGCGGAATTCCACCCAGCCACAACGCCATGCTGAGCGTCGAGTGGAATCTGCGCTGGTAATGAACTCGGCGACTTGCCGCTCGGCTCGAAGATTCGACGGGTTTACCATAAACCTGGGACTGCAGAAATATGGGGGGGTTGCCTTTTTTTTTTTTTTTTACCTATTCCACACCACACCTTGAGTTTATTGCGCCCGGTCGTTGTGGCGTTCTTGTGTATGTTCCTTTTTGCAGCTATTCAGCTGGACACCTCCACCCGCTAACCCAGAGCTGCATACGTCACATGCACCACCATACCTGAGGGCGCCGTACATCCCCCATTGTTCTCTTCTTGTTTTTAAAGGTGTAAACTCCAGGGTCAGCGAGGGAGGGAACAAGCAAGCAGCCAGTGATGTCTAAAAAGACCTAGCTCCCGTGCAGCATACTTGTTCCAGGTCAGTGACTCACCAGAAGGATCACTATGACAGATCCGGGGCCTGCACCTTTTAAACCAATATCAGCAATGGTAGCTCCCAAATTACTATTGGCGATGGTTCACCTTAAAAATGTAACCCCATGCTGTGTTTCAGGTGGTGTGGAAATATCCCCACCTACTGGGGTCTAAAATCAGGTATCCTCAGCTTCTAGGTTCTAAAATGAGGTATCACTGCTTACTGTCTGGTCTAGAATAAAATATTCCATCCTTCTGGGAATTGCAGCAAGGTACCCCTGCCTACTGAGGTCTACATTTAGGCCTTCCCACCTTCTGGGGTCTAAAATGAAACATTTCCTACATACTGTGGTCTAAAATTAGGTATATCCGCCTACTGGGTTTAAAATGAGGTATCCCTGCCAACTAGAATCTATAACATGATATTGCATCCTAGTGGCATCTACAGCATGGTATCCCTGCCTAATGAGGTCTAGAATGAAAATCCCCACTACAAGGGTCTACAATGAGGTGTACCAACCTACTAGGGTCTAGAATGAGGTGTACCAACTAACTAGGGTCTACAATGAGGTGTACCAACCTACTAGGGTCTACAATGAGGTGTACCAACCTACTAGGGTCTACAATGAGGTGTACCAACCTACTAGGATTTAGAATGAGGTATCCCCACCTACTAGGATCTAGAACGAGGTATCCCCACCTACTAGGGTCTAGAATGAAGTATCCCCACCTACTAGGGTCTACAATGAGGTGTGCCAACCTACTAGGGTCTAGAATGAGGTGAGCCAACTAACTAGGGTCTACAATGAGGTGTGCCAACCTACTAGGGTCTAGAACGAGGTATAACCACCTACTAGGGTCTAGAATGAGGTGTGCCAACCTACTAGGGTCTAGAATGAGGTGTGCCAACCTACTGGCATTTAGACCTAGGTTTTTGCTGCCTACCAGGCTTTAGAATGAGTTATCTTTGCCAACTTGGCTCTAAAGTAAGAGAATCACGACTACCGGGGTCTGAAATGAGGTATCTTTGTCTAATGGGAACCAGCATATAGCATCAAAACCTACTAGAGGTCAATAGTGAGGTACGCCCACCTACTAGGACCTAGAATTAGGTATCACCAACTTCTAGGGCCTAGAATGAGACATTCCCACCTACTAAGATTTAGACCTAGGTTTTACTGTCTTCTGGGGTTTAGAATGAGGTATCTAGGCCAGCTAGGGTCTAAGGTAATGGAACTCCAACTACTGTGGTATGGAATGAGGTGTCAATGCCTACTGTAGTTTAGAATGTGGTATCACTACCTGCTACGGTCTAGAGTGAGGTATACCTACTAGGAGGAGGTACCCCCAACTACTGGAGTCTAGAATGAGGCAAGCCCACCTAGTAGGATTTAGAAAGGGTTATCCCTCCCCCATCCACTGGTGTCTAAAATTAGGTATCCCTGCCTACTGGGGGTATGTAATAGGGTATGCTCACCTACTGAGATTTAGAATGAGGTATCCATCCCCTACCCACACCTACTGGAGGTCTATAGTGAGGAATCCTTGTCTACTGGAGGTCTATAGTGAGGAATCCCCACCTACTGGGGCCTTGAATAAGGTATCCCCATCTATCGGGGACCAGAATGAGGTATACCCACCTACCGGAGGTCTTTAGTCAGGTAACCCCGTCTACTGGAGGTCCATAGTGAGGTATCCCCACCGACTGGGGTCTACAATGAGGTATCCCCACTTAGTGAAGGTCTATAGTAAGGTTATCCCACCTACTGAGGTCTAGAATGAGGTATCCCTACCTACTGGAGGTCCATAGTGAGGTATACCCGTCTACTGGAGGTCCATAGTAAGGTATCCCCAACAACTGGGGTCTACAATGAGGTATCCCCACTTAGGGAAGGCCTATAGTAAGGTTATCCCACCTACTGAGGTCTAGAATGAGGTATCCCCACTTAGGGAAGGTATATAGTAAGGTTATCCCACCTACTGGAGGTCCATAGTGAGGTATACCCATCTACTGGAGGCCCATAGTAAGGTATCCCCAACAACTGGGGTCTAGAATGAGGTATCCCCACCTAGTGAAGGTCTATAGTGAGGAATCCCTGTCTACTGGGTTCTCTAGAATGAGGTATTCTCATATATTGTGGCCTAGAATCACCCCATTTTCCAGACTCCTGGGGGTCTAGCATGAGGTATATCTGCCTCCTGAGGTCCAGAATGAGGTATCCCTACATACGGAGATCCAATTTAAGGTATATCCTGATATTATGGTCTGGAATCAGATCTCCACCGACTACCTAACCCTGACATTATGCATTCGAAAATCAGCTGAAATTTATTTTATACATCAGCGGCACAAACGCCACGGCGACTCCATTGTGGGCAGAGCCGGATGCAGATTCAGCGATGCCGGGAATGCTGGGATTTGTAGTTCATCGTTTTCCCGGGCCGTAAATAAAGCCGCCAGAGACAGGATCACCCGTGCTGGCCTTAGATGACATTGCTGCCTGACAGGGGAGGCTGAAATAGATTTGCATTCTTGTCCCCACAGGAGCCGCTGGCTGCCCATTAACCTGCAGAGACTCCGCATCCCCGCTAACAAGAGACTTAACAAAGCGCTCATTAATACCACCCCCTACAGTCGCATTAAAGCCGCAGCGCATCTCCACTGCAGGAGAGAGAGAGCCCATGTGAGCCCCGAATGATGATTAGAAACCCAGAGACAAAAGACTGACTTATAGAACGGACAATTCCTCGCACCATGGCGTCCGGGATCTTCACAGGAGAATTGGAGCTAATTAAAAGTCAATGAACACGGCGGCAGTGACTTTAATTCACCTACAATCTGGTTTTATCTAACCCATTGCAGCCCATAGTGGCAGCCTCTTCATAGGGCTTCCTAGTGGCACTGTAGCCTCCTGTCCCATGATTCTGCCCAGTACATCTGCTCTATCATGCTCCATTGTGAGTGGGCGGAGTTACAGTGGGCTCAGGGCCATTGTACAACCTCTTTTAGGTCTACCAAGAACTAAGGGCCTGCCTGATTGGATAGATCCTCGTATTACATAGTTTGGGAGATCTAAAAGTTGTTTGTGCAGAGATTATAACATGTATGGTGACCCTGTAGCCAATCCAAAAAAGTTTATTTTATCTCTTTCCTTGTGTACTTAGTAGTTCCAATTGTTCCTGCCGGTGCCGCTGTGGAGGGGCGACAATGCAGCTGAATGTGCAGCAGCGTTGTTGCTCCTCTGATCCTCATCTCCTATTCCGCCTTTAGAAGTGACGGCATCATGTCAGGGTCCATAGCTCTCTGGGTGTTGGCATTTGGCAGATAGTTTATGCCCACCAGTAGCTAGTTCATGTCCACCAGTAGATAGCTCAGGCCCACCAGTAGATAGCTCAGGCCCACCAGTAGATAGCTCAGGCCCAACAGTAGATAGCTCAGGCCCAACAGTAGATAGCTCAGGCCCACCAGTAGATAGCTCAGGCCCACCAGTAGATAGCTCAGTCCCACCAGTAGATAGCTCAGGCCCGCCAATAGATAGCTCAGGCCCACCAGTAGATAGCTCAGGCCCACCAGTAGATAGCTCAGGCCCACCAATAGATAGCTCAGGCCCACCAGTAGATAGCTCAGGCCC